GCTAAATATATCATGGGCCCTTAAAAAGATGTGTATTGTTCACTGGTTAATTATAATGTTGTATACTGTTGTTGTTGTTAGGTGCCATCGAGTCGGTACCAACCCATAGTGACCTTATGCACTGCAGAACGAAACACTGCCCAATCCTGGGCCAACCTTACTATCGTTGCCACACTTGAGTCCATCGATGCTGTCGCTTGGCCAATCGATCTCATTGGGGGTCTTCCTCTTTTTCTCTGACCCTCCACCTTACCAAACATTATATCCTTCTCCAGTGACTACTCCCTCCTGACAATATGTCCAAAGTATGAGAGATGAAGTTTGATCATCTTGGCCTCTAAGGAGCACTCTGGCTATACTTATTCCAAAATGGATCTATTGGTTCTTTTGGCAGCCCATGGCACTTTCAATATTCTCCTCCAACACCATAACTCAAGTGCATCAATTCTTCTACGTTCTTCCTTATTCACTGCCCAGCTTTTGCATGCATATGAGGTTATTGACAATACCATGTCTTGGGTCAGGCACACCTTAGTCCTCAAGCTGACATCTTTGCTCTTCAACACTTTAAAAAGGTCTTGTGCAGAAGATTTGCCTAATGCAATATGTCATCTGATCTCTTGACTGCTGCTTCCGTGAGTGTTGATAGTTGATCCAAGAAGAATGAAGTCCTTGACAACTTCAATCTTTTCTCCACTGATAAGAATGTTGTTTATTGGTCCAGTGGTGAGGATTTTTGTTTTCTTGACATTGAGATGTAATCCATACTTAAGGCTGTGCTCTTTGATCTTAATTAGTGTGTTATATATAGATATATAAATTTGGCAAAGTTGGTTAATTATCTTGCTACTTGTATATATTTTTAAAAATGTTTTATTGTAAATTGAATGAAGGTTTAGAGACAAGATCATCAGTTTTTACATTCAACAAATTACACACTTCCATTTCATCTCAATGATTGCAATCGTCTCCATGCAACAACAGTTGTCAGTTATCCCTCTTCCTCCCTGTGGTTCCTGTTTCCATTACACCCTACTTCCCATCCCTTCTCAACTTTGTCCTTAGGGAAATGTTGCCCATTAGATTTTGAATGATTGGCTGTTCCATAATTCCATGGTGAGCATACCTTAGTATTGTTGTTGTCCCTTTATATACATGTCTACTATTTGGCTGAAAATTGTGACACTAGAATGAGTTCCGTTGCAGATGGGTGGTCAACAGCCATAAACTTAGTTTCCTTCAATCTCTTTCTGACCAGTAAGCCCAGTCTTTTTTTTTTTTTTTTGAGTTTTTTTTACAATTTTGAGTTTTGTTCCACATTTCACCTTCTAATGTGATCCCTTTCAGGGCAGTTAGTAGTGGTAGCCAGGCACCTTCTAGTTCTGTAGGTCTCAGCTTCTTGGTGACTGGTATTCACCTGGTATCCACTGGACTGTTTGATTCCAAGCATCTTCAATTTTCATCAATATGGCCACTCATAAGCTTTTAAGATCACAGCTACTACTCACTGAGGTAGGATGTAGAATATGTCTTTGTGGATTATGTTATGCCAATTGTCCATGGTATTTTGTGAGACAGAGTACTCCTTGGAGGACAGGATGGTCAAACTTCATCTCTCATACTTCAGACATATTGTCAGGAGGGACCAGTCGCTGGAGAAAGACATATCAGGTTTGGTAGATGGAGAGTCAGAGAAATAGAGGAAGATCCCCAGCAAGATGGATTGGCAAAGTGGCAGCATCAATGGGCTCAAGCATGGCAACAATAGTGAGGTTGGCCCAGGATCGGGCAGTTTTAAAGTTTCATTTTGCTGTGCATAGGGTCGCTATGAGTAGGTACCGACTCAATGGCACCTAACAACAGAAACAATTGTCCTGAGACCTCAAGCCCAGCAACTCGTTGCCTTAAGATGTTTAATAATATCTAAGAAGTTTTCATCATTTGGGGCACATTATGCTCCACTACATAGGTGTAGCACTGCAGGTTAATGCACTGGACTGCCGGGTTGGTTTGAACCACAAGTTCAGTGGTTCAAGCTCACCAGCTGCTCCTCGTAAACCCATTACTGAGTCACTGTGGTTCAGAATTGATTCGACGATGGCACACAACAATAACCTTTATAGGTATGTTTGCAACAAAGATCTATTCCTTTTGTTTCTTTCTTTCTTTTTTATGGGTTGGGGGGAAGGGAAGGGATGGACACCAAAACACTCAGGAATTTATACATTTAACAACCAAAAGGCACATTCTGCAAGCCTACCTCCTGGTCACCAACAAACAGTCTTTCTCTTTTCTTGAACCTAGAGTCCTCAGCTGTTCTATCTCTCCATGTGCTTCTATCTCTGTGCCTCTGTCTCTGGTTCTCTGCTTCTCTGGTTCCACATTCCGCTCATGCTTTTCTCCCTTGGTGGTCCTAGGATCCTCTGTTCCTGGAATGTAAGATTAACTACTCCCTCTTTATGTTACAAAACTTCTACCTTTATAGTTGTGACAATCACAATTAGTCATGATAACTACTCACTATTGAATCATAGGAATGTTATCCCCAACTCCTTTCACCAGACCTGTCTAGACAAGATGAAAACCATTTAGTGTGGATTCTACCTTCCCCTCCACACTCTGAAACTTAAATTGTATTTCTTATAATGGATGTATAGTTGGATTTTCCATTTTTATGCATTCTGACAGTTTTAGTTTTGCATGAGGTATTTATCCATTTAAATTTAATGCATTTACTGATATATTTGGGTTTAAATCTTATATCTACTAAGAGTCCTAGTATGGCACTTTAGAATTAGCACTCAACACCAAGGCCAGTTTGAACCACAAAGTCGGCAGTTCAAACTCACCAGCTGCTCCTCAGAAACCTTATACAGGGTTGCTATGAGTAAGAACCGACTCAACAGCACTTTATAACAACAGCAACAACTATTTGTTTATGTTTGTCTCATCTTTTTTTCTTCTTTTTGACCTTTTCAATCACCTCTTTGTACAAACATATTTATTATTATTATTTATTGATTAGCTCTTTAGGTGTATACCTTAATTTTTCAAAATATCTTGATTATAGAGTGACTACATATTAATTCTTGACTTACTGCATTCTATTATAAAATAGTACTTTTTTGATTCTTTGACTGTGCAAGAACTTAATAATACTTAAATCTCTTGCATCTCCCTTTAATTTTTTATGGTTTTGCTATCATCTGTTATAATTCTATATATTTTAAATCTTTAAAGCTTTATTAATACTATTTTAGAGAAACACTATTCATCCACCTATATCAATATATTTACCTTTTCCTTTGTTTTCATTTCTTCATGCTTATTTATTTTTGCTTCTATATTGATGTGTGTGTGTGTGAAGAATTTTGTTTATTTCATTTAGTGAAGTTCTATTAAAAACAAAATTTTAGCTTTTATTTGTCTGAAAACCATTTTTCCTTTGTTTTTTACTATTGTTATTTTAACTGTTTTTGTGTATTAGGTGAAGGCTGATAGAGTATATCATTTTCCATTCAACATATCATAACATGTTTTGTTTCATGTCATTGGTTGCAAGCCCACATCATCTATCCCACTTCTACCTGGGGCTTTCTGATTTTGAGTAATGCTTTCAATGAGTATAGAATGCTAGGTTGACATTTATTATTTTTTTTAATATCTTAAAGGTGTTATTCCATTTTCTTTTAGGTTCATTAGTAACTGTTGACAAATCAGATATAAATATTCATGTTGCATCTTTGAAAATAATGTATGTCTTTGTATCTGGATGCTGTTAAAATTCTCTTTATTTTCCTATTTTGGCATTCTTAGTGGGTGTGTTTTCTTGGCATTTATTCTGCTTAAGGTTATTACATATTGAAAACATTATTTGATGTTTGTCATCACTTAGAATATCTTCATATATTATATCTCTGTTTATTCTTCTCCAGGATTCTACTCATACATATTTTAGATATTTTCACTGTGTCCCATTTGATTTTTACTGCCTTTATGAATTTTTAATCATTTAAAAATATCTATCTGTGATTTTATAATCCTATTTCAGAATTAGACACTAAAAACCTGATAGAACATGGCTGGGGTATGTTAGCTTATGGGGCTTATTTAATAATAATTTACTGAGAACACAGAGTCCTGGTGTAAGCTCTGTAAGATAAACATTGGCCTGCTAACCACAAGGTCAGCAGCTCAAACTCAACAGGCAATCCTCAAAACTCCTATACAGGGCCATTGGATATTCATTCTATATAGCATATAAGGGAGATGGGCATTTTTTCATTTGCAGTTTAATAAATGGATAATCAGAGTGAGGTTCACCATTTTGTTCATTCTACTGATAATGAATAATAGAGCTTGGAATAAAAAAGTTTCCTGTACCATTTCTTTTAAATAATGATGTTCTCCTCACCAGAGCTTTGCCTGCACTCCCAACCCCATGCACCCCCACCCCAAAAAGCCTTTAGTAATGGAATTTAGGAAGAATTCTTCCAAGATATGGGATATAAAAATAAATGCTGCGCAATTCCATTGTTGTGAAGTGCCATCGAATTGGTTACAACTCACAGTACCCCTGTATAGGGTTTCCAAGGAGTGACTGTTTGGTTTGAACATTAGCAATCCAGTGTTTATCCTGCAGTACCACACCAGGACTCATACAGCTCAGGTCCAGGCTTATTTCTATTAGTTATTAACCCCACTTTTGCAACGCTTACCAGCCGCTCCGCGGGAGAAAGATGAAGCTTTCTACTCCCGTAAGGATTTACACCCTCGGAAACCCTGTACAGGGTCGCTATGGGTCGGAACCGACTCGAAGGCACTTAACAACAACAACAACAACAACTTGATTTTTAAAACAACTTTCCTTCATTTATTATACATATGCAAATTACTTCTAGGCTATTTCTTATTTGAATAATGATAGTATTAGTATTAACAATAACAAGTATCAGGAACTGAATTTAATCAGTTACAAGTAAAATCTATTTTTCTAACAGAGAGAAGGAGAAAAGGACCATCGGGTGCGTCTGGCAGTTGGAAATGGTGTCCGAAGTGATGTATGGAGAGAATTCTTAGACAGATTTGGGGATATAAAAATGTGCGAATTTTATGGAGCAACTGAAGGAAACATTTGTTTCATGAACCACACTGGGAAAATTGGATCAGTTGGAAGAACAAATTTCTTTTACAAAGTAAGTATAGTATTATCTTTTACAAAAGAAATACATTGAAGTCTACTAACCTTCCTATTGACTCTATGCTTTATATGGTAAAATTAATCACATTTTGTTTTAAGTTGAGCACTTCTATCTTATCACAATACAGGCTATCTTATCTGACTTAAGGATTACTTTATACCTCTAAAATGAATTAATAGTCAAAAATCTTCCCTCCGTTCCAGAGAGTTCCTCAATCTATTTGCCGAATATTTAAAGAGCAAACAATTCCAATCTGGTACACTCTTTGCCAAAAAAGGAAATACCTTTCAGAAGGATAAGCACCAGGCCGACCCCTACAAAGTGGAAGGTAGACATGCCTCCACCCTCTAACCTTCTGTACCAATGCTAACACCAGCTGTTCCTCCCACAGCACACTCTATTTCTCATCTGGATTTGATCATTCATTGCAATGGATGCACAGAACTCAGACACCATGCTCATAGTTAGGGGGTTTATTAGGGAAGGTAATAGAGTGCAATTCAGGGTCAGAAATGTTCAGGGAACAGTTCTTCCAGTCAGGACAGTTGCCCATAGGCAAGCACACTGGCCCTCTATCCCCTTGACCTGGCCTCTGCCATGTTCTTACAATGTTACAAAGCTCTCTTAGGGCTACTGATAAATGTCATCAGGGCACACCATTCTACCCTAAGCCTAAAAGCACATGGCTCTAACTTTGTGAGTCAACAAACCTGGCTTCTCTAGTAAAGTGCCTGGAGGCACCCAACTCTGTAAGCAAGTCTCCTGTCCAAAGTCATTCAATTTGCTCCATGGGCTGGGAAGTGAACTGACTGCTCTGCCTCATATTCTGGATCCCGGTTTTACTGCTAATGCCACTGCTCCTATGCCCCTCCTCTGTTTTCCTGTGGTGTCACTGCTCTCTGTCCTGGGTCAAGGAGGTTCAATGAGCAGGGTTGGGTCCCAAGGATGCTCTCCATTCCTGTCTTTTCTTCTTAAATGGTAGTAAAACTTCCCCCACGCTGCTTCTGAGATGGCTCATTTTACAGCCAGCAAGATGCCCAAACTGACCAATCACAATTAGCCCTGTTAACAGTCACTCACAACTGAGTCATGAACTTCATCAGGATCTTCCCACACTCTTTCTTATCAAGATCCATCAGAAAAAAAAGTCATTTAGTGGGAGTTAACACAGGCTGGGTAGAAGAAACATTAAATAATTCACTGAACCACATTCTTCCAGAAAATAGAAAAGAAAAACACTTTTTAACTCACTTGATGAGTCCCAAAGTATGACCAGACATTGACCAGCTGGTGCTAGTCATAGATATCCATGTATGAAGAAAATCTTCTGTGGTCAATCATCTCTGTAGCTGTGTGTTCTCAATGAATCTGTATGGGCCCTGAGAGTCAAATGATATTACTGTTGACATTTCCAGTGCAAATACCCAAGGAAATATTAATAATTCCCATTTGTAGAATTGCTTTTGAATATATCTTTAAGATTTCCACAGTGAAATTACTTACATTCCCAACTTCTTTAGTTTTATAGAATAAGTTTTCTGTATAGTTGTTGTTGTTGTTGTTAAGTGCCGTCGAGTCGGTTCCGACCCATAGCGACCCTGTACAGGGTTTCCGAGGGTGTAAATCCTTACGGGAGTAGAAAGCCTCATCTTTCTCCCGCAGAGCGGCTGGTAGTTTCGAACCGCTGACCTTAAGGTTCGCAGCCCGATTCGTAACCACTACGCTACCAGAGCTCCTTAAACTGACATAAATCAAATAATTTGTTGTTCTTGTTAGTACCTTGGAGTCGATTCCAACTCACAGTTAACCCCATGTAGGGTTTCCAGGGAGTGACTGGTTTTTCTAACCTATTACATTTTTTTTTTTTTTTCAATAGCTGGAAGTAATGGACATACATATATTTTTCATGCTGCAGCTGCTAACCGTTTTAGTCAGACTACCTACTCAAGTCTGGTGAAAATTGACCTAATGTTATGAACCTATAAACGGTTGTAAGCTATTTTTATAGTGCATTCTTTTAGGATTTGAGGGTATAATTAACATCAGAGAACTGCATTTGCATTTTAAGCAAAAGTTTTTGGAAATGTAAGGGGTGATATTCTGAGTTTTGCATTTCCTGCAGTTGATTTTCTCAATTCATTGCACTGTTTCTATTACAAAATTAGTATTCATATTAAGCCTCCTTACTGAGGCTGAGTCATTCCTAAGTAATCATCCAACAAAAGTGCAGTGAAGATTTTTAATTTATATTGTTGACTTGACTTCCATTATGAGTCTAATGTTTTTGTTCCCTGTCAGACTATAAAAGCTGTTAACAATGCAAGAAGTCATGATTGTTTCTAACTTAGTTGAAAATTTTCTGATGGTTCAACTCATGTTTTATTTATTTAAGTTTGGAAATGAAAAAACAATTGGTCCTAACTCCATATGGATTCTAGCCTCTTTGTTATCATTTCATTGGCATGTGATTTCATTACATACCTAGTAGTCAAAAACTTGGGCCAAGATCGTTGTTTTATAAATAGATAGAGAGGTTTGATAAGTGTTTCTCTCATAAATGCTTTACTTACTATGTCAGAGGAGAATCAGTCTCCAAATGGAGAAAGAAAGCAACAAACAGAAAGATGAGACAACAACACAGAGTTCCTATGACTTAAAAGTCCTTCCTGCATGCTATCCTTCCTATTTAAATGTACAAAACTAAAGGGAATGCTCCTTAGAAGTGAAGATGGCAAACTTCAGCTCATGTACTTTGAATGTTATCAGGAGGGATCAGTCTCTGGAGAATGACATTATGCATGATAAAATAGAGGGTCAAGGAAAAACAGGAAGACCCTCAATGAGATACATGGACACAGTGGCTTTAGCAATAGGCTCATTGTTGTACATGGGGATACTATGAGTCAAAACTGACTCAGTGGCACCTAACAACAACAACAACAAAAGGACAGGTTCCTCATACGTGCACCCAAGTAAAAAAAAAAAAAAAAAGCAAAAACACACACACACACACAAAAAAAAAACCCATGGTGACAAAGTACTCAAAAGGCAAATATAAGAAAAAGTTATGCGCTAACTCTCTTATAGTATTTTATCTGGGAATAATAATTCAGAAGTATTCTGATGTGGCACTATAGGATAAGCACTGGACTGTAAATCACAAGGTTTGTGGTTTAAACCCAACAGTTGCTCCTAGGAAACCCTGTAGAGAGTTGCTATCAATCAGAATAGACTCAAGGGCATTTGAACAACAACAACATATTGATATCCTAGGGCTATTTTAACAAATTATCACAGACTGGGGGGCTTAACACAACAGAAAGTTATTTTCCACAGTTCTGGAGGCTAGAAGTTCAAAAGCAACTTATCAGCAGAATTAGTCCCTTGTGGAAACTGTGGGAGTGTCTGTTTCAAGCTTCTCTTCTAGCTTCTGGTGTTCCTTGCCTTGTCCTTACATCACTGCTGTTTCTGCCTCTGTTTTCTCATGATCGTCCATGTTTGTGTGTCTGTCTGTTTTGCTTCTCCTTGTCTTATAAGGATACCAGTCACATTGCATTAGGGCCCTAACCTAAGATAGTATGACCTCATCTAAACTTGATTACATCTGTAAGACCCTATTTACAAATATGGTCACATTTATAGGTTCTGGGGATTAGAACTTCAATACATTGTTTTGGGTGCACAAAATCCAACTCACAACAGAAAAGAAAGAGAGAGAGAGAGAGAGAAAGGAAGGAAGGAAGGAAGGAAGGGAGGGAGGGAAGGAGAAAGGAAAGAAGAAAGAAAGGAAGGAGAGAAGGAGGGAGGGAGGAAAGAAAGAGAAAGAAGAAACCAGTAAAATAAATTAAATGTGAAAAAAGTGAGAAATTGAATTAAATAAAAGGCAACTGAAAAAATATGAATACACATTAAAATAAGAACTACTCCAAAAAGCCCCAAAATTTTTTAGGAAAACAACTTCCTGTAGGCTCAAAAAATTATAACAATATTCCTTTTGAAAAAAAAAAAAAAATAGGAGCTCAAAGAGAAGAAAGATTCAAGGGAAATATAAATTAAGAAAAAGAATTGAAAAGTAAGCATGCTCAACTCAAAGAAATAAAGAAAATATTACAGAGATGAACAAACTACATTAAAGGGCTCAGAAATGAAAAGCACTGGTATTGAACAGTGGCAGTGGCAATGGACTCAAGCATAACAACAATTGTGAGAATGGTGCAGGACAGGCTATGAGTTGAAGCCAACTCAAAGGCACCTACAGCATAGACATTGTTAGGGAACAAGATTGTTATCTCTGTTAAGTACTGACTGTCAAGTTGGTTCCAACTCATAGTGACCCTGTGTCACAAGGAGCGGCTAGTGGGTTTGAATCAACCACCTTGTGATTAGCAGTCTAGTGCTTATCCTACACTAAGACTCCCAGGGGATAAAATAGGCATAAGGAATCACACAAACACAATAAAATGTGCAGGCAAATCTTAATTTCACCCAGTTTCTAAGCATCGAGTGTACTATATCTGATAATACACACATTGAATGGAGACTTTGTCAGGAAAGATTGTCATACACATGCACAGTTTCAAATTAATCAAAAAGAAATAACATTAGAGGTGATATCTCCAGTTACTGGGCAAAATTTCCAGAAAATAATGTATGTTAAAATCAGGAGAGAAAAGATTGGGTGATGAGCAGTCATTTTTTTCTTGTTTGGCCAAGGTGATAAATATGGTTACAGAAATGTGTTTCAAGTAACAATTGAGAAAGTGGCCAATGTCCTGTTAGCCAAATATAGACAAAGACCAATGAGATGCAAGATTACATATTAATAAAGTATCGTCATTTTTAAATAACAATATGTTTTGTTTCACTGTGTCTTCCATTGATTGCTATCATCTTAAATTAGGATAATAGTAATGATTGCCACCTAGGGTGGTGCTCTGGTAGCATAATGGGTTACATGTTGGGCTGCTAACTACAAAATCAGCAGTTCGCATCCACCCCTATACAGGGTTACTATGAGTTGGAACCAACTTGAGGTCACAATCACATAAGGTGTTTTGATGATGAATGAAATACATTTTGTTCTTATACTTTTACTACAGTATCTGGCAGTGTAGTAAGTGCTCAATCAATATTAATTGCTCTTATTCATATTTTAATACAAACAATGAAAATCAATATTAATTGCTCTTATTCGTATTTTAATTCAAACAATGAATCGTTTGCTTTGAGTTTTATCCTGATTGAACTGAGATTAAACCCAGAAACTGTATGCATCTAATACACTTCTGCCTCTTTGGATTTCTTTATTTTATTCTAACAGTCCTTTTTTATTTATTCTATTTGCCCTTTCGTATTTATATTATTTTCTCCCTTTATTTTATTGCTCACATGTTATTCATTTACAACTTTCTAAATAAGGTTAGTATGATTACATATTTAATTGATTCTTAGAAACTAAGAATCTGAAGCACTCTAGCTGTACTTCTTTCATGACAGATTTATTTGTCCTAATGACATCCATGATTCTCTCAATATTCTTCACCATCACCATAATTCAAATGCATTGATTCTACAGTTTTCCGGATCCACTGTTCAACTTTCACATGTCTATGAGGTGATTGAAAATAAATACCATGGCTTGTGTCAAGTGCACCTTAGTCCTCAAAGTGACATCTTTGCTCTTTAACATTTTAAAGAGGTATTCTAGCAGATTTCCCTTTTGCAATACTTCCTTTGATTTCTTGACTGCTGCTTCCTTGAACGTTGATTGTAAATCCAAGCAAAATGAAGTTTTAGCTTAGAAGTTATAGCTACTATAGTATGCAACTGAATTACTTTTGCTCTTTATGTCATTCACACATCATTAAAATTATTAGTGTTTTATTAAGGTAAAGTGTAACATAAAATAAATAAAAATAATATTAGTAAATGAGTGCTGTTTACTAATACTTTCTATTTTGATTTTCTTGTATTTAATTTTTCACCAGTAAAAGATACTTATTTTATTAAACCTTCATTCTATTCATTTTAATTGACAGCACAAAATCTATTTCCAGTAGATTGTATCACACAAATCAATAGCCACTCATTTTTGTTCATTTACTTGGCTTTTTTTCTGCAGCTCTTTTTTGCTTTTGACTTGATCAAATATGATTTTCAGAAAGATGAACCCATTAGAAATGAAAAGGGCTGGTGCAGTAGTGTGAAAAAAGGTAAGATTCTTGTATTTGTAAATGTTCTCTCAAGAAAAGTTTCTGAATATCTATTTAATTACTATTGAATTGAAAATAAAGCATGGTTATTTCTATTGTATAACTTGACTTATTTTGAATTTCAGTAGAGGTGAAGACTTTAAGTACCTCAAAGTGGCTCAAACAAATGATAAATTATTAAAATTTGAAAGTGATTACTATTTGACTCAAATTTTTACTTAAGATACCACTTCTAGTTTTGAAATAGTGGTATATGCTTAATGTCCTGTATCAGCAAAAGACAATGTAAACATTAATGTCAGTTTATCAGCCTGAACTTGATGGTCTGTTCCACAGTCAGCCCATGGCCTTGTTTTAGCTGTTGATATTCAAGTTTTCCATCGTCTCTTTCCATAGAAGTAGTTAACTTTATTCTAGTATATTCCATATGGTGAGGGCCTGGTGTATGATCACCTTTTATGTTGTTTACAAAAGTTTTTTGCAATGAGTAAGTCATTGGTCTTGCAAAATTCTATCATGTGATATCCAGCATCATTTCTATCACCAAGGCCATATTTTCTAAATACTGATCTTTCCTCTTTGTTTACAACCTTCTCATTCCAATCACAAGTAAGTATCCGTGTATCTTTTTTACATGTTTGATAAATTTCAGATGGAAAATAGTGGTAGGTTTTTTTTAATTTCTTTAATTTCATCATTACTAGCTTAAGTGGTTAGTGTATACATTTGAATAATAGTGGTATCAACTGGTCTTCCTTGTAAGTGTATGCATATTAACTTATCACAGGCAACATTGTACTTCAAAATAGATCTTGAAATGCTTTTGATAATGAATGCAATGCCATTCCTCTTGAGCTTATGGTTCCTGGTTGTTATTGTTGTTGCTAAGTGCCATCAAGTTGGTTCTGACCCATAGCAACTCTGTATAGGGTTTCTGAGGAATGACTGGTGAGCTTGAACTGTCAACTTTGCAGTTCAAACCAACCTTCCAGTCTGTCGTATTAACCCACAGCACCACACCAGGATTCCATTGTTCCTGGTAAACCATATGAATTTGTTGTTGTTAAGTGTCATTGAATCAGTTCTGACTCACAGACATTCTATACAGGTTTTTGAGGAGCAGCTGATGGGTTCAAACTGTCGATCATGTGATTCACGGTCCAGTGTTGATCCTACAGTGCCACACTAGTAGTCAACTGATTTAAATGACCAGTAGTAGTCCATTTCACCTAACTTTTATTTTTAAGTGCCATGAAGTTGGTTTCAATTCATAGTGACCCTGTATAGGGTTTCCAAGAATCAGCTGGTGAGCTTAAACTGCCGACCTTGCAGTTCAAATGGCTTTGCAGTCTGGTGCATTATTAACCCACAGCATCAAACCAGGACTCCTTCACCTTACTAATGCCTTGGATATCAATCTTAATGTGTTCCATTTCATTTTTGACAACTTCCAGTTTACCTAGATTTGTACTTTGTACATTCCATATTCTTATTATCAGTGGGTGTTTCTAGCTATTGCTCCTCATTTTGAGTTGTGCCTAATCTGCTAATGAAGGTTCTGAAAGCTATACTCTATTCGCATTATTATGGCCAACTCTACTTTGAGGATGAAGCTATTTGCCCATAGTATTTTGAATGCCTTCCAACCTGAGGGGCTCAGTTTCCGGCAAAATATCTGAAAATAGTCTGCTGCTATTTATAATGTCTCCATTTTCCAGAACGATATCTGATAGTGTTCTGCTGCCATTCATAAGATTTATCATTCAAAAGTAGTCTACCAAACATATGTCTTTCTCCAGGGACTGGTCCATCCTGATAATATGTCTAAAGTATGAGAAGTGAAGTCTGACCATCCTAGCTTCCCAAGGAACATTTTGTTTGTACTTCTTCCAACACAGATTTGTTTGTTCTTTTGACAATACATGACACTTTTCATATTCTCCAACACCATAACTCAAATGCATCGATTCTTCTACTATCTTCCTTATTGTTGTTCAATGTTCACATGCATATGAGGTTACTGTATTTGCCATGGCTTGGGTCAGGCAAACCTTAGTCCTCAAACTTGTATCTTTGTTCTTGAACACTTTAAGGGGATCTTGTGCAGCTGATTTGCCTGATGGAATACATCTTTAAAGTACTTGACTTCTGCTTCTGTGAGTGTTGATGGTTGATATAAGCAAAATGAAGTATTTGACAACTTCAAACTTTTTTCCATTTATATGGATGCTATTTACTGATCCCATGGTGAGGCTTTTTATATTCTTTACATTGAGGTGCAACCTATGCCAAAGACTGTGGTCTTTCATCTTCATCAATATGTATTTTAAGTCTTCTCTTTCAGCAAGCAAGGTTGTATCCTTTATATATCACAGGTTGTTAATGAATCGTCCTCCACTTCTTATGCCACATTCTTTTTCATATAATCCAACTTTTCAGATTATGTGCTCAATTTACAGATTGAATATGTATAGTGAAAGAATACAACCCTGATGTTCACTGCTCCTAATTTAAACCATTCGGTGTTCCCTTGTTCTATTTGAATGACTACCTCTTAGTCTACATTATATACAAGCTCCTCATGAGCACAATTAAGTATTTCTGAATACTCATCCTCTGCAATGTTGTCCATAGCTTTTTGTGATCAGTGTAATCAAAAACCTTTGTGTAATCAATAAAGCATAGGTAAAATCTTTCTTGTAATCTCTGCTTGTAGCCAAGATCCAACTGACACCAGCAATGATATCACTTATTCTGCATCGTCATGTGAGTCTGGCTTCAATCTCTAATTGTTCTCTGTAAATGCACTGTTTCAGCCATTTTTAAATTATCTTTAGCAAAATTTTACTTGCATGCAATAGTGATGATATTGTCCAATGATTTCTGCATTCTGGTGGGCCAACTTTCTTCAGAATGGGCACAAAAATGAATCTCTTCCTGTCAGTTGGCCAGGTAGCTGTCTTCCAAATTTCTTGGCAAAGATGAATGAGCGATTCGGGTGTTTCATCAATTTGTTGAAAGATTTCCATTTATATTCCATCAATTTCAAGAGCCTTGTCTTTGTCAGTGCCTTCTGTGGATCTTGGACTTCTTCCTCATATGCTCTTGGTCATATGCTACCTCTTGTAACGATTGAACATCAACCATTTCTTTTTGGTATAGTGACTCTGAATATGCCTTCCGTCTTCTTTTGATGCTTTCTGCATTATTCAGTATTTTGCCAGTAGAATCCTTCAGTATTTCAAGTCGAGGCTGAATTTTTCCTACAGTTCCCTCAAGTTGAGAAATGCTGAGTGTATTTTCCCTTCCAGTTTTCTAACTCCAAGCCTTTGCATATTTCATTAAAATATTTAGCATTGCCTTCTCAAGCTCCCCTTTGTGATTTTCTATTCAATTTTTTTGTCTCCTCATTGCTTCCATTTGCTTTTTTAGCATCTCTATGCTGATGAACAAGATCAGACTCTCTTCTGACATCCATTTTGATTTGTAGAAGGGCAAGTGTGTTTCCACTAGTGGCATGGGTGCCCTTAGAAGCCAGAATATCAGGAGAAGTGAGAGCAAGAGGAATTGAGTAGTGTTCAAATGACATAAATTACTCTGTAGTTGCTGGAACCTAGACCTGTCGAATCCACCACATGGTAAATGTGTCTCTTTACAATTAGCAAAAGATGTAAACAATAGTTTTTATAATCGCTGGGGCAGTGATTCTTGCAAAGCAGGTTTTTACCTTGAAGATTGCTGAGCAAAATATTGATTAATTTTTATATGTTAGACTGGAAAATTATTTCAGAAGAGGTGTCCGCATATAAGTAAAGTTAGGATGTTTCAGGGCCAACGAGATTTTTTTCAAAGTCTCATCTCTTGTTGAGGATTCTCAGAATAACGCCCCACAGGAATAAAACATTTTCTTTAATTTTAACAGCATTTTAAATAGATCAAAGACAGTATTGTACAGGAACTTTGTTGCAAAATCACAGACTTGAATTTGAGTTCTAGATCTATTCCTTTCTATCTGTTTCATTTTTGCAACTTACTTCACCTTAGTGGCTTCCCTTAGAAATAAAAATTATAAATGCTGAAGGTTTTCTGGGAAGAATAAGCAAGATTACAGTTGCAAATTGTTCACGGTGCTTGACACATAGTATGCTTGACACTAACAAGATGGCAACTATGATCATTTTATTAAGATAGCTCTTACAAAGTTCTTTAAATAGTTGTCATTATCATTGTTAATATACACACATTTCCAAAAGCAAAACTAGCTACTGCTTTATCTACCTAGGATGTAAAAGAAATTGAATACACCTTTCCTTTATATTCAACTCCTTTTGGTTTGAAAAGTAATCTGTGGTTGTGGCAAGCTGTAAAGGATGTAGGCATCCACCACAAGTGATGAGCACATTGGTTTTATTGACCAGATACAATTTAGTTATATCCTTGTGTAATGTAGCAGTCTTAAACAGATGGCTGAAAATAATGTCATTCTCTGTCTCTCACAGGAGAACCTGGACTTCTAATTGCTCGAGTGAATGCAAAGAATCCCTTCTTTGGTTATGCTGGAAATAAAAAGTACACAGAAAAGAAATTGCTTTATGATGTTTTCAAGAAAGGAGATGTTTACTTTAACACAGGAGACTTAATGGTTGAAGATCAGAATTTCCTTTACTTTTGGGACCGTATTGGGGATACTTTCAGGTATGAAATATCAGATGCACTGTTTATTCTATGATTGTGAACCACTCTTTAAACAATTCTCTGTGGAAATGTCACAGACCACATGGTCGTCAACTTTCAGGGTTCAGTTACCACCATTTTGCCAGTAGCGTAGTGGCTACAAATCGGGCTGCAAACCGCAAAGTCAGCAGTTTGAAACTACCAGTCGCTCCACGGGAGAAAGATGAGGCTTTCTCCCATAAAGATTTACAGCCTTGGAAACCCTGAATAGGGTCGCTATGAGTCGGAACCGACTCCACAGCACAGCACATAACAACAACAATGCCTCATTTAAAAACTCATTTGCCATTTATTTCTAGGTTGAATCATAAATTGAAATTTTATGTCAATTTTTAAAATCATTTTAGGGAATCATTTTGGTCCAAATCAGTGAGTTGATCTTATAGAATATAAAACAAGTTGGGAAACAAAAAGTGCCAAATAGTAGGATTAAAGCAGAAAACCTAATTTGTCAAATGTGGTCTAATTTTTTATCTGATGGGAAAAAAAAAAAAGAAAAGAAATAATGTAATTTCTTTTCCTTTTTGAATTCCTTAGTATTATTTTACCTCTATTAAAATATTTTTCTTTACTATTAAAAGACTACAGACCATTGAAGGACGACCTACAGGTAAAATTCAACAAATAAATGAATGTTGAATTTTGAATGAATGAATGAATGAATGAATGAATGAATGCATTATACTTTCTACCTCCTAGCCTATTGTTCTAAGTTTAATTTATGTAAAACTATTCTAATAAGAGTAAATATTCATTCAACATACTGAAGGAGCCAAAGTGATCAATACATAGAAACTAGAAAGGGTCAGTATACTGTAAACAACTATGTTGTTGTTGTTTTTAATTGCCTTTGAGTTGATTCCAACCCATAGTGGCCCTATATAGGGTTTATGAGGAGTGGCTGGTGAGCTTGAACAGCAAACCTTCTGGTTCCAACCAACTTTGCAGTCCAGCACATTAACCCACAGCACCACACCAGGACTCTGTAAACAACTATAGCTTACCTTTTAATTTTTTCTATCTGTGTCAGTAGAGATAAGTAGTAATTTGCATGTAAAAGTCATTACACTACAAAATAAAGGAAGAATATTCATTATTCTATTATTAATTTTTATGGAATATTATCAAAGGCATTTTATGGCAAGCAATTTATACCAACCATATATGGACAAAGTAACTTTAAATAAAAAATTGAAACTGACTTTGTTGAATTACCAGCAAAGCATTTCTTTGGAAATACGTTTTCTTTCAAAACCTGCCATTATTTTTGGTCACACTGTCTTTGCAAAGAGCCAAATGCAAGCCATTAAAAGTAAAACTGGATACCTACTTCCTCAAATGCAGTTGCTAACTGGAATTTGTTTTTATTTAGGTGGAAAGGAGAAAATGTTGCAACCACAGAGGTTGCTGATGTTATTGGAATGTTGGATTTCATACAGGAAATAAACGTATATGGTGTGGCTGTGTCAGGTATGAATAGATTTCAAGTTTTGGAAGGATTTTCAGAATACAGTATTCCATTGTTCTATAGTGCAACTATCTTCCAGATTCAACATTTGAGTTTTTAAGTATTAAAATAAATAAATATTTCATTCTTTGTCTTTGCAAGAAATGTCTTTTACCAAACTAATGTATCAGGAGAATGATACAGAATTTTCATGTCTGTGTGTGTGTTAATTTTTAAACAGAATTTGAAAATTCCAGTCAGTGACTCATTTCTTGAAACTAGTTACAACCTTTTCAATAGTCTATTATTTTTGTTTTCTTTATGGCTAGTGTTCAGACATACTACTAAATAAGAACATGTTGTAATTCAAATTTCTAATTACACTGATGTGTATGTACTAAGGTGGAAATTTCACAGTGGGGCTCTTTTGAAAGATGATTTTAAAATCTGTTTTACCTCATTTATCTTTATAAATATTCATGTGAGGATGTTCTCATGGTGGTGAATGTGGAACAGAAAAGTGTGTAGTCTGAAGTCATAGGACAACTGTTCCCCTTCACTGTCTTTTTATACACATGACATGATTTTCCAGCTTATACTTGAGGTACAGAGGACATTGAGGCTGGAAATGTGTGAACAAAAAGGTGAAGGAAGGGGATGTTTATTTTAATAGACTAGGCAGTCACTGGGTGTTACATTATTTTTAAAAAGTACATGATGTACTGATCCATTGGAAAGAGTCCTTGATAAGTAACCTGTGAAATTAGTTGTGGAATTATAGGTTGTCAGCCTTTTAATTTAAAAATATGCTTTTAAAAATTAATGCATCAAATGGACATTTATGCTGGAAAACATATATTTAAGGGGGAAAAAAGAACAATCCATTGACAGAGGGTCTATTCGAACTCATAGCAACTCTGTAGAACAGAATAGAAATGTCCTATAGGTTTTCCAAAGCTGCAATCTTTATGAAGGAGTCCTGGTGTGGCACTGTGGGTTAATGCGCCAGACTGCAAAGTCATTTGAACTGCAAGGTCGGCAGTTCAAGCTCACCAGCTGCTCCTCGGAAACCCTATACAGGGTCGCTATGGGTTGGAATTGACTCGAGGCACTTAACAACAACAATCTTTATGAAAGCAGACTGCTACATCTTTTCCCTGCAGTGGCTGGTGGTTTGCTATGCTGACCTTTTAGTTAGTTTCTGCGTGCTTTAATCACTATGCCACCAAGGTCCCTTTTCTGGAATATATTTATGTTTAAATACATGTTGCTTTATATTTTTTAGTAGTAGTTATTGTTGTTTTAAGTACTGTCAGTTTCCAAGGCTTTAAATCTTTGCAAGCGCAGAAAGCCTCCTATTTCTCTCACGGAGTGGCTGGTGGACTTGAATCATCAACCTTGTGGTTCACAGTCCAATGCTTATTACACAGAACCACCATGCTCCCCTTCATTAGTAATGGTAGGGTGCAAAATATGAATCATTGATGATATTTTTTTGCTACATTTATTTCATTTCTATAGTATAGGAAATTCGAGATAAACTTTGGCCTTCTCTTTTCTAAATTTCTTAAGAGTGTGCTTAGTCCCTGATAGCCTAAATGATTTATGCTTGACTGCTCACCTAAAGGAGTTCTGGTGTGGCACTGTAGGCTAATGCATCAGACTGCAAAGTTGTTTGAACTGCAAGGTTCGAACCAGCTGCTCCTTGGAAACCCTATGTAGGGTTGCTATGGGTCAGAATCGACTCAACGGCACTTAACAACAACAACAACTAACCTAAAGATTGGTAAATTAAACCCACACAGCAGTGCCACAGAAGAAGGGACTGGCAACCTCTTTCCATATTGTTTTTAGCCAAGAGAACCCTGTGTAGTTCTTCTGCTCTGTGACACGTGGGGTTGCCATGAGTCAGAACTAACTCATTAGCAGTGGGTTTGATTTTGTCTTTATATAACATGCTCAGGGAAGAATATAGACTCATTTGTATATGCTACAATTGCATTGGTGTTATTGCAGTAGATTTCATATCTCTAGTTAGGCCATTGGAGTCCTTGTGTGGTTCCGTAGGAAAAGCACTGGACTGCTAACCACAAGATCGGTGGTTCAAACTCCCCAGCCACTCCTTGGAAACCCTATACAGGGTTGATGGTTTGGAACCAACTCAATGGTATTAAACAATAGCAATTGGCAATTAATATGTAATTAATAGGATTCTAAATATATATATATATATTTATTGGAGATGTTGTGAGCCGTTGAGTCAGTTCCAACTCTTAGTGACTATATAGAACTTCTGAGGCTATAAATTTTGATGGGAGCAGAAAGTCTCATTTTTCTCCCATGAGGCAACTGGTGGGTTTGAACCTCCAATCCTGTAATTAACATCCCAGTGTGTAAACCTCTATGTCACCAGGGCTCCATATTTCTACTTAGTACTTCTTAAAATTGACTCTATATTAATTTTTTTTTCAGATTATGAAGGAAAAGCAGGAATGGCTTCAATTATTTTAAAACCAAATATGTCTTTAGATTTGAAAAAAGTTTATGATCAAGTTGTAATGTTTCTGCCAGGTTATGCCTGCCCACGCTTTTTAAGAATTCAGGTAAGTTTACTGTTTGAATGTATTTATTGAAGTTAAGACTGGGATATGAGGAGATGATTTGATTACAAAGGCAATATATACTTTAAATAATGTGTGCATTTTATTCATACTGGAAAACTTCAAGATAAATACTGAAAAGCATTGAAATCTAGAGTTGATGCTAATTTATACTGTGTTTGTGACAGAATTATAGAAAAGAGTATGATGAAATGCTAGGCTATCTTTGTTTGAGCCAAAATTATAAGATTGCCCTCTTCCTCTGCAGGCAGGACCTCATAACAAAATGATGGCCCCAGTGATGGTGACCAGCCCATACCACATATTACATGAATCATATTATGATTGTTGGTGCACTGTACCTAAAATTAGCTTTAATCACAAGAATACATCAAGGTGTATGCTTCTGCACAGAAAGAACTTAAAGGCAATTGGCTTTAAGCAACCCTGCTTCTAGTTGTCACTCTCATTCTCCCACATGGGAATCCTGAATTCGTTTATCTTGGAAAGAGGACGCTCTCTTATTAGGAGGCAAATTTACTCAGTTACTCAACTAACTGTACTTGCTCATTTAGTCAGTCATTCATTTATTTAATCTTGTGCTGCAAATATTTCTCAAATTTAGTACTCATCATCTGTTAATATCTAATGACTTGGACTATTTTGGAAATATTTGTTAAACTGTTATTGGATGCCTAAAGGAACAAAAGAAGGTTTCATATTCATTTCCAATGCATTTCTGAGTAATCCTCATTTCTAAATTGGCCAAATAGGACACATTGTCTCAATGGTCATAAATATTTTATTTGTGTAACATTTTTTATTTTGAAAAGTTTTATACATATTGTTTCAGATTATTTTTATAATAAATGTCTAAAATAGTTGTTGTCATTGTTACATGCCATTGAGTCGTTCTGACCCGTAATGACCCTATGAAGAGTTTCCTGAGGAGCAGCTGGTGAGCTTGAACTGCCAACCTTGTGGTTCAAAGCAACTTTGCAGTCCAGCACATTAACCCACAATGCCTACAGTAATATATTTTAAATAGGAATTTTTATTACAGTAATTGAAGATTCACGTGATTATAAGAAGCAACACAGAGATCCTGTACACTCTTTGCCCAGTTTCTCCTGATGGTTCCATTTTGCAAAACTGCAATATCACAACCGGAGTCCTGGTGTGGCGCTATGGGTTAATACATCAGACTGCAAAGTCAGTTTGAACTACAGGGTCGGTGGTTCAAGCTCACCAGCTGCTCCTTGAACACCCTATACAAGGTGGCTATGGGTTGGAATCTACTAAACGGCAATTAACAACAACAACAATATCACAACCAGAATATTTACATCGGTACATTGATATAACCTACCACTTGTCTGTCAGTTTGTCACACTGTGGTAGCTTTAGTATTGCTGTGATTCTGGAAGGTATTCAACTGGCATTTTATATACAAGCAAGGTTAACCATAGTGGACAGGTTTCAGCTGAGCTTCCAGACTAAGACAGACTAGGAAGAAGCAAAGACAGAACACTTCCAAATATTTAGTCACTGAAAACCATAGCAGTGGAACACTGTCAGCACCAGAATATTGAATACTGAAACATGATGAAGAACACCAGAATTGTCAGATACAGTGCTGGAAGATGAGATCCTCAGGCTGGAAGGCATTCAAAATTTGACTGGGGAAGATCTGTGACCCTAAAAGAGAGTTGAATGTGATGATGTGAATGGAGTAAAGCTTTCAGGTCTATCATTTGCTGATGGGGCACAAGTAAAATGAGGATAAATAGCTGTAAGCATCCATTAATAATCGGAATATGAAATGTATAAAGTTTAAAGCTGGGAAAATTGGAAGATGTTAAAAAAGAAGTGGAATGCAAACACCAGTATCCTAGGCATTAGTTCTGATGTGCACCTCACCAGATGGAATACACAGAAATTAAATTGGCTACATCTGTGGAAAGAGATTGTGAAAAAGGTCCATATCATCAGCCAAAATAAGACCAGGGGAAGATTGTGGAGTAGATCATCAATTGCTCATATGCAAATTCAGACCAAAGCTGAAGAAAATGAAAACAAGTCTTCGAGAGCCAAAAATGACCTTAAATATATTCCACCAGAATTTAGAGATTACCTGAAGAACAGATTTGATACATTAAACACTAAAGACCGAAGACCAGAAAGGTTGTGGGATGAAATGAAGACTGTCATACAGGTAGAAAGCAAAAAGTCATTAAGAAGACAAGAAAGAAGGAAATAGTCAAAATGGATGTCAGAAGAGACACTAAAGCTTACTCTCCAGTGTAGAGATGCTAAAACAAATGGAAGAAATGAGGAGGTACAAGAGCAGAACAAAAAATTTTAAAGGTCAGCTCGAGAAGACAAAGTCAAATATTACAACGAAATGTGTGAAGATCTGGAGTAAAGAAATGTGTAAAGATCTGATTGAACTGAAGAAAAATTTAAGCCTCAACTTTCGTTACTGAAGGATTATTGGGGCAAATGATTGAATGATGCAGAAAGCATCAAAAGAAGATGGAAAGAATAAACAGAGTCACTGCACCCAAAGGAAATGGTCAATGTTCAAACATTTCAAGAGGTAGCATATGATCAAGAGCCAATGATCCTGAAGGAAGAAGTCCAAGGTGAACTGAAGGCATTAGCAAAGAACAAGGCACCAGGAATTGATGGAATAAAAATTGAAATCTTTCAAGAAAGTGAGGTGGCACTGGAAGCACACTCAATCATCTCTGCCAAGAAATTTGGAAGACAACTATCTGGCTGGCCAATTGGAAGAGATCCATATTTGTGCCCATTCCAAAGAGAGGTGACCCAACAGAATGCATAAATCATCGCACAATATCATTGATAGTCCTTGCGAGTAAAGTTTTGCTAAAGGTAATACAGAAATGGCTGCAACCATACATTGACAGAGAACTTCCAGAGGATCAAGCTGGATTCAGAAAACGATGTAGAATGAGGGATATCATTGCTGATGTTTGATGGATCTTGGCTGAAAGAAGAGAATACCAGAATGATGTTTCCCTGTGCTTTATTGACTACACAAAGGCTTTTGATTGTGTGGATCATGACAAGCTATGGACAACATTGCGAAGTATGAGTATTCACGAACACTTAATTGTGTTCATGAGGAACCTGTACATAGACCAAGAGGCAGTTGTTCGAACAGAACAAAGGAACACAGAGTGGTTTAAAATTAGGAAGAGTGTGCAACAGGGTTGTATTCTTTCACCATACTTATTCAACCTGTATGCTGAGCAAATAATCTTAGAAGGTGGGTCATATGAAGAAAAACATGACATCAGGATTGGAAGTAATATAAAGATAAGTGGACAAAAGATTGAAGTTGTCAAAGACTTCATTTTATGTAGATCAACCATCGACACTCATGGAAACAGAAGTTAAAAAAAGAAATCTAATGATGTATTGCATTAAGCAAATCCATTGCACAAGATCTCTTTAAAATATTGAAGAGCAAAGATGTCAGTTTGAAGACTTAGGTGTGCTTGACATAAACCAGTGTATTTTCAATAGTCTCATATTCAAGTGAAAGTTGCACAATGAATAAAGAAGAACATAGAAGAATTCATGCATTTGAGTTATAGTGTTGGAGCAGAAATTCAAAATACTATGGATTGCCAGAAGAACAAACAAATCTGTGTTGGAAGAAGTACAACCAGAATTCTCCTTAGAAGCCAGGATGGCCAGACATTATCATTTTTTAAATAACCACAGTAACTGGATATTAATATATAAACTTTTCAAAATTTGAAATTAGGTTGGACAAGACAGAACCAGCTTAATTTCAAGTTCCATGTTGACTTTCAGTGTTGCTGGTTTTCTATCACAGCAACCACCAAAAACTCAGCCTCACAAAACATGAATGACATCATTGAAAAGAGTATGTTTCAAACTAATGTGGAAAATCCTAACTCCTCGAGCTAGTATTTGTGTGTAGTGACTAACAGATGTTGGGGGCTTTTCCTTGAACTTTCAAGCTATCTCATGGGGACCCTGGGAGGTCACTTAGGTGCTTCAGGTGTATACTTTGGGAGCTGATGTTTTAGAGCACTTCTCACTCGGAGGTGTTCTTCAAGAAAGACCTGGTACTTCCAAAGGCCACAGTGTCTAAACCCCTGTGGTGAATTTCTGTTCTGCACACATGCAATTGACATGAGTCAGAATCTATTCAACTTGACAACAACAGGTTTCAGGGTTTTGTTTTGTTTTTGTTGTTGTTTTTCTATTCACTTTCGTTTTTATACTATTCTACTACTGCTGTCTGATAGGCAATGTCTCCATGGTGTCTAAGCACAATATCTATATGTAGTATTGAATTTATGTTTAATTAAAGTGATAAGCCTATATGTTTTAGACATACTTGTAATCAAATGAGCCCTGGAAGTGCAGTGGTTAAAGCACTCAGCTGCTAAAAACGGTCGGTGGTTTGAGCACACCAGCAGCTTTGAGGGAGAAAGACATGATAGTCTGCTTCTATAAAGATTTATAGTCATGGAAATACTGTGGGGTAGTTCTACTCTGAACTATATCGTCTCTGAGTCAGAATTGGATCAGTAACTATGAGCTTGGTTTGATTTTGTAATCAGTTTACTGACTTATATTGTAATTCTTAAATACTGATCATGTTATTATTTGAAAAAGTTTACAGGTAATTTTAGTATGGTGGTGGTGGTAGTGTTGGTGGTGTACCATCAAGTTGATTCCAACTCCCAGCGACCCTGTATAGAGTTTCTGAGGTTGTAAATCTTTATGGGAGCAGAAAGCCTCATCTTTCTCCAATGAAATGGCGGTGGATTCAAACTGCTGACTTTGAGGCTAGCACCCACAGTGTAATAAAGTTAAAGATTTAAATACTCTAGAGGGCACTTTTATTTCTGATGTTTTTAAAAAAATCAATAATAAATTCAGAGATGCTCATTAGATATAATAATGTTACATTATGTTATAAATACTAATGTTATAGTATTATAAACACAATATTATTAGAATACTTTATATATTATAGTTACCACAGATAGCAATAAATGATTTTACTCCTCTTGCTTATTGTTTTATAGGAAAAAATGGAAACAACAGGTACATTCAAACTACAGAAGATTCAGTTGGTAGAAGAAGGATTTAACCCACTGAAAATTTCTGATCCACTTTACTTTCTGGATAACTTGAAAAAATCTTATGTTCCATTGACCACAGAACTTTATGATCAAATTATTTTAGGTGAGATAAAACTTTAAAACATTGCATACAGGGGACTTTAGAAAGCTTTATTAGAAGCAATGAGAAAAGATGCCATTTTTCAATATGAAATGTAGAAAGGGAGCTAACATTAATTAAGCATGAACTGTGTTTCCTTAATCTGCCATTATTTTTCTTTAATTAAGAACTTTAATATGTTTTAATTTGTATGAATTTTACTAGTTCTTTTTGCCCCATTTGGAATTCATACCTAAATATTCACTTTAAAGGTTTTAAGTAAATAATACAAGTTGTTAACAGTTTAGAAACTAAAGATGTACTTTTATAACATTGAAAGATTCTAGTTTTGAATTAACAGTTGACTTTTACTCAAGTATTTGATTTTTTACATGTTCTGTAATTCAGTAAACACCATCTTCTATTACTATGTGTTTTGAGTTGTTTGTTTTTTTTCTGTTGTTTTTAAATGGTAAACATAAAAAGGAAGCTGACTAAATGCACCTCTCCTTTTTTATTTAACTCTCAATGAACTCAAGCATGGCAACAATAGTGAGGTTGGCCCAGGATCAGGCAGTGTTTCCTTCTGCTGTGCATACGGTCACTATGGGTCCGTACTGACTTGATGCACCTAACAACAACTCATTGAAAGGAAAGAATAACACTAAACATATAAAACCATAAAGCAGGAAAATCTGTAAGCCCAAAGTATTTGAGAATATTTAAAAGATATATGTTGTTGTTAAG